TGTGAAATCACCTTTTCGTGTCATTACTTCCGGTCGCTAGCGGAAGCGAATTTAAAAAGTTCGTATTTTCCAACTTTTTTGTTTTTTAATATTTTTCATTTATTTTTGGAATGTTAATAGAAACCCTTCTAAAAGTGCTTACTATATAATTTGTTTGAACATTGATAAATCCTAACTCTAGATATTAACATTTTTTCCATATGGCGGCTGTCTATGTCAACTCCGACATTTCGCAATAGGGGAAGGCAGCCAAGCGTTTGCTTGAACGAAAGTAAATAAGGATAAATGAAATGTAAAGGAATACGGGGATTGTCACGATGAAGTTACGTTGCAACAAACTAAGTTTAAATCGATTCGTCTCAAACGTCTTCTATAATTGGTTTTGGCTGGTTCTATTATGTTATACATATATCTACTATCATTTGTTTTGCGGAAAAACATATCTTAAATCATAGCTATAAATAATAGTTTTAAGAAACAATATCGATGTATATTTAAACGTATCCACTGTTTTGCTCATGTACACTTGAGTCATATTAAACTAATAGGAAAGACAAACATAGTAAAACCATTTTTTAGAAGAATTGAGTTTATATTAATATTCTTGTCTCAAAGAATAGATTTAAGTTATTGAACATAAATGTTGACCGTCTTACGGCGACACATGTTTTTCGGCGAAACATTTCAACCTTTTCATGAAAGTTTAACTAATAGGGATAGTTCAGTATGGGGATAAACAGAAAATTTTTTAAAAGTAAAAAAATATAGCAGTTTCGCTGATTTAGTGTTACGTATCTATTTACGTCATAGAATTTGTAAATGTGTTAAAAACAATTTTTTTTTACCTTGAAATTTTAGCTATAAGAACGTTCTTTTTTATTTCCATTGAAGCTATCACACCTATTTAATGGGACATTCCAAAGAAAAGGCGCGAAGCAAAATTATGAATATCATGTGTCATTATATGAAATCCCTTTTGTTTCCATAAAATTTAATGACTTTTTTTGCGGGGGTTCATCTAGATTTTTTTCCCCAAAATTTTGTGCAGGCGATTTCTCGAAAACTATTCAGTTGTTTTCAATGAAACTTTCAGCAATCATGTGTCATTATATGAACTTTGTTCATCAGAAGGACAATTTGAAATACTCACCTTCGGTTCCAAGTTATTGACAGTTTTCTGATTTTAAAATGGATTTTTGTCCCCCCTTTTTTACGAAAATGGTCTAAGATATTAACTGGAGACTTGTTAGAGATGATAGATGATGACTTTTAGATATGTGAAATCACCTTTTTGTGTGTCGTCAATACTTCCTGTCGTTAGCAGAAGCGAATTTAAAAAGTCCGTATTTAACTTTTTTGTTTTTCAATACTTTTCATTTATTTTTGGAATGTTAATAGAAACCGTTCTTATAATGCTTACTATATAATTTGTTTGAACATTGATAAATCCAAACTCTAGATATTAACATTTGAAAATCTGAAGCGGGTCCAATATGGCGGCTGTCTATGTCAACTCCGACATTTCGCAATAGGGGTTTTCAGAGGCAGCCAAGCGTTTGCTTGAATGAAAGTAAATAAGGATAAATGAAATGTAAAGGAATACGGGGATTGTCACGAAGTAGTTACGTTGCAATTCTGTGTCAAACTAAGTTTAAATCCATGGTCGTCTCAAACGTCTTCTATAATTGGTTTTGGCTGGTTCTCAAAGTAGAAAAAGAAAAGACTAAATGTGCAAATGAAATACATACCTACTATCATTTGTTTAGCGGAAAAAACAGATCTTAAATCTTAGTTACAAATAATAGTTTTAAGAAACAATATCGATGTATGTAGTAAGTATCAAATGTATCCACTGTTTTGCTCATGCACCCTAGAGTCATATTAAACTACATTTGTATTAGGAAAGACAAACATAAGAAAACCATTTTTTAGAAGAATTGAGTTTATATTAATATTCTTGTGTCAAAGATATGATTTAAGTTATTGAACATAAATGGTTTCTGATTCCTTGACCGTCTTAGGGCGACACATGTTTTTCTGCGAAACATTTCAACCTTTTCATGAAAGTTTAACTAATCGGGATAGTTCAGTGTGGGGATAAACAGGAAATTTTAAAAAGTAAAAAGTTATTGCAGTTTCACTGATTTAGTGTTACTTATCTATTTACGTCATAGAATTTGTAAATGTGTTAAAAACAATTTCTTTACCTTGAAATTTTAGCTATGAGAACGTTCTTATTTTTATTTCCATTGAAGCTATCACACCTATTTAATGGGACATTGCAAAGAAAAGGCGCGAAGATTTACTAGTGGCGTTTGACGCAAAATTATGAATAGTGACCGCCTTTCATTATTCTAAGACATATGTACTTTTTCAGAAGTATATACAAGTAGATTTAGAAATGTGGTCCCAATAGCGTAACAGTAAGTGCTTTGGATTTTCATGCTGGCTACCCGGGTTCAATCCCCTTTGTTTCCATAAAAAGTTTTATCACTTTTCAGCTCGATTTTGCGGGGGGGTCAGAATCGGACGGAAGACCTCTCGTTGCTCGCAACGAGTTTCTTTTCTAGTTATAATAATATTTATAATAATTCGACAATTTCCATATACTGTGTGTTTTTTAATCAAATGTTATAACGAAATTACATGTAGCACCAAAACCTGTCCTTGCAATCTTGTGACAAAAAGGGGGGAATTCAAATTAAACGAAAGAAGATACTAGCTCATAAATAAGTCTCTCGGTAAATAACAAGCTTAGAAACAATTTTTTTTTAGAATAAACTGTTTAGAAATATAATAGTCTAAATATGTTTTAAAAGATAGAACCCTGAACGTGATTTTCCATAACGCATGGTCTGTAAAAATTAATGGTCAGGGCTTCAGAGCGCGGGGATGATTCCCCAACAAGTATGGCCATATAGTTGAACCGGGAATGGAATCGTCTGCATCATACTTTTTTTCTTTCGGAATTTTAATTTCAAATATTAAATGCAAAACAAGATGTTATAATCTGACTAATTTTTCTTCTAAAACTGGTTATTATATACAGTAACTTTGTCACCACATGGCTTGAATAAAAGCAACAGGTATAGGTTTGTCTTATAGGAGATAAATATAAATTTTCACTTGACCCCTGAACAATGTTACTGTAACAATGTTGTCATATTTGTTTTAAAAAAAATGATTTTCTCTAGGAATATAATGTTTGTTTATTTATGTTTTGACAAATTAAAATTATCGATTGTATTCGTGAAATGAAATCTCCCCTTTTAAAATTAAAATTATAAATGTATAAGCATGATTTTTCTTAAAATGTATTTATTTATTTAATAGATTGATTATATTTTTGACACATTCTTATGAATTAAAAAAGATCGATGGCTTTTATTTCACGTTGACATATGTGGTAGGCATCAAAAGCCTGAATGTTAATTTGATGGCTTTTATTTACACAAGACATTGCTGAAAATTAAATGTGTCAAATCAAAATATCCAATCCCAGGCTTAATTTCAAAAGCCAGGTAAATTTGAAATGTTCAAAAGCATTTTAGATAGATTCATGTTACCGTTACTTTGTTCAATGAAACACACAGTAAAAAATCTTGAATAAACTTCATTGAGTGGGTTATTTGGGGCTACAAATTACACATATTGTTTTTACTCTGTTTCTTATTATTATTATTATTATTATTACGGAAAATCTTTTGAATAATCTTGTAAACTACACATCTGATAAGGTGAAACCTTTTTAGGGTCAGTAGGCATGTTAAGATCAAAATGCGCGCACGTGCTTGCAAGAGCGTGCACCAACGCGTGAAATGACCAATATAATGAATATTTCTTTTTAAATTTTAGATAAAATGTTTTGAAACTTAAAATATAAGGATATATTGTAGCAGAAAAGATGACATGTCAAAGTTGAAAGATCTCACGCGCATGCACGTGCGCTTCGCTCTGATTGGCTGAAACTAAAGTCTCGATATCTTTCTTGTTTTTTGATAAAATCATTTGAAATTTTGAATATAGTCATACATTAGGGAGATCTAAAGCCTGGTATAAAAGAATTGTCATGAAAGAATGTGCATGCACGTGTGCTTGCAAGAGCGCGCACGTGCAACACTAGAAATGTCCAATATAATTGATATAAACGTAACTATTTAATTTTTTTTATGAAATGTTTTGAAAGTTATAATATAAGGATATATCAGAAGCATAGACTAGATGACATGGTCAAAATAGTAAGATCTCACGCGCATGCACGTGCGCTTAGATTGGCTGAAACTAAAGTCTCAGTACTTTCTTGTTTTTCGACAAAATCCTTTGAAATTTTGAACATGGTTATACATTATAAAGATCTACAGCAAGAATTATCATGAAGCATGCGCATGCACGTGTGCTGCAATCTGATTGGCTGATATTTTAATTGTCTATAACAAACGGGATAAAATTTAGACTTTGAATAGGTATCATGGATTTCTACATAATGGTACACAATTAAAAAATCTTGCAAGTGCGCGCGCGAATACGCAAAAGGGCCAATATTTTTAAAAAACATTAAAATGTATATTGTAAAGATTTTTTTATTTATTCTCACGATATATAGATATGCTAATTGTTTAGACAACATACCATGATCATCTTGCATGTACATGCACGTGCCTGCGCGTACAATGCGTTAAATGACATATAGTTGATATCATTATACCTTTTATAATTCTTTGATGAAATCCTTCGATACTGATCATATTTTGTAAAATTTTTTAAAGGGTTTTATTGAACTAACATGCACTAGTTTTGTATTTTAATTTTTTTTAAATATTGAACTAACATGGTTATATGTAAGAATAGTCATATACAAAAAGAATGGATTTTGAGAGAAAATAGCAATTTAAAAAGTTTTGTCCAGTCATTTATTTGACAGGTAAATGATATATTTTATAATTTATCAAACTCAGTATGTTTACTTAATCTCTGTCATATTATAACGCTTTATTTTTCAGATTCTGGGTGTCTGGATAACAGTTCGATATAGGAACCAAAAAGATCCACGAGCTAATCCTAGCTCATTCCTTTAACTGACAATTTCTACAGAAATTTGGGACTGCATGTAGACATTACATTTTTATTATTACAACTTTATCTTTGTTGTGGGACTTCATAATAATGAGCTCACCTGAGTTCAAGTATTAAGTGCACTTTTTTGATTAAATGAGGAGTGTCCGTCTGTCTATCCATCATGATAAGTTTG